AAAGAGCACATTGGTCATTGGTAGACTAACTGTTAACATATATACCTGTGGTTTTGCTCATGTTTGAAACAAATTTATAATTGCTGATCCTTCAAGAATGTGAATTGAGATAACAAAATCATCTCTAATCTCCACTCCTATTCCTTCCTCTCCTTATCTATATATAGATGCATACACACCTAGATGTATATACACAGGATGGATCACTTTTGCCCTGTAAGGTAGGGAGTCTGCCCTGGTCATGGTAGCTCCTCCCTATAATCCCAGCTACTTGGAAGGCTGGGACAGGAAGGTCACTTGAAGCCAGGAGTTTGAAGCCTGCCTGGGTAACATAGTGAGACCTATCTCTAGAACATTTTTTTAGAAATTAATTGGGCATTGTGGTTCACTCCTGTGGTCCCAACTACCTGGGAGGTTGGGGCAGGAGGATGGTTTGAGTCCAGGAGTTAAAGGCTGTAGTGAACTATGACTGTAACACTGCACGGTAGCCTAGGAGACAGAGTCAGATTCCATCTCTAAAAAGTAAAAACACCTGGAGCCTGATACTGTATACCAAGGATCTGCAAACTATAGACCATGGGCTAAAATCTGGCCCGTAACCTGTTTTTATATGTCTGGTAGTCTAGAATGGCTTTTATATTTTAACTGGCTAAAAGAATGTGAAAAGAATAATAATATCTTGTTATGTGAAAATGACATGAAATTTCAATTTTAGTGTTTATAACTTTTTATTGGAAAACAGCCACTTTCTCGCTCTTTCTGTGTGTGTGTGTGTGTGTGTGTGTGTGTGTGTGTAGTCTGGCTGCTTTTGAACTCTAATGGTAGACTTGAGTAGTTGAGACAGAGATGATATATTGCACTTTTGCCACTTCATACTCTTCTCAGTTTACTACAAATCCAAGTGATGCCAGTTATACCTGGACAGTGTTTCTCATGCCCCATATTGTCACACTGCAACATTTTATTTATATGTTATCGTATTACCAGTGTATATTTACCCTGTCAAAACAGAGAAGTGAACTTCAAATGTGATTATAAAGCACAGTGGAGAATTTTATTGTAGGAATTACAAAGCAAAGTACTAAACGTTGTAGGTAAGCTAATAATATACATCCGCCTCACTGGATAATCGCTTATCACAACTGTCACATGTTCTCAAATTGACAGGAAAGCAACTGTCAGAAAAATTGTAAGTTTTAAAAATGGAATATTAGATCCCAGCAGAATTTTTTCACAAAACTGAGTGAAAGTGAGGCTTCAAAGGTAAGTTTCTAGCCCAGAGCAGTGCCTCATGCCCATAGCCCCATCACTTAGGCTAAGGCAGGAGGATCACTTGAGCCTGGGAGACTGACTGATGATCATGTCACTGCGCTTCAGGCTGGGTGACAGAATGAGAACCTGCGCTAAAAATTTTTTTTAAAGTTAAGTTTCTGAGGGGTTCTTTTCTTTCTTTCCTTTCCTTTCCTTTCTTTTCCCTTTTCTTTTCCTGTTCTTTTTCTGTTTCTTTTCATCCTGTCCTGTCCTGTCCTGTCCTGTCTGGTCCATGTCTTGCTCTGTCGCCCAGTCTGGAGTGCAGTGGTGGAATCTTGGTTTACTGCAGCCTCAGCTCACTCACTCCCTGGGCTCAGATGATCCTTCCTCCCAACTCAGCCTACTTTTATTAACCAAGTAAGGAAAGTCATTTACCAGTGGTGATCCAGTTAAAACATGTTTTGATTTTAGCAGCCAGAGAAATCTGTCAAGTGAAATAAACTTGTTTAAAACTATTAACTTTTCAGTGAGAACAGTTGCTCTGAGTTGAGCATATTGAGAGTATGTTGCTCCAGGGAGAGATTGAAACTGCCCCCAACCTGCTAACAAACACTGAATGGCTCTGAAGGTTAACTTTTGCAGCAAACTTGACAATGTTTCTTAGTCTGTTCCACCTAAAATTACAAAAATGTTTATATGTAGAATTTATATTGTAGTAAAGTCATTTCAGTGACAACATGGTATGAATTATAAGTAATAAAAAGCCAACTGCTTTACACATTTTATGTTCTGTCAGAAATTAAAACACAAAGGGAGACCTTCATTCCTAAATAGGATTGTAGCAGATACATTTCCAAGCTCAAATTAGAGTTGCAGAAAGTTTTAGACCTCATTGCAAGCACAAAGGAAATTTCTGTATTTCAAAATTTGAACTGAAAGTGATTAATTTGCAATGTAATGACACGCTAAAAGATAACACCAATATAATAGAATTGCACATGTCTTTCTAAATGTGCTCAATTGAAATAATATACTTGTCAGTTAGTGTTTGATGTCAGCATTTACTAGTGCCTGTGCATGTTTTTACATTTTCTTTTTTTTTTTTGGAGATGGAGTCTTGCTCTGTCGTCCAGGCTGGAGTGCAGTGGCGCCATCTTAGCTCATTGCAACCTCTGCTTCCCGGGTTCAAGTAATTATCTTGCCTCAGCCTCCCAAGTAGCAGGGATTACATACAGGTGCCTGCCTCCACACTTGGGTAATTTTTGTATTTTTACTAGTGATGGGGTTTCACCATGTTGGCCAGGCTGAAGTCAAACTCCTGACCTCAAGTGATCCACCCACCTTGGCCTCCCAAAGCACTGGGATTACAGACATGAGCCACCATGCCCCGCCTACATTTTCTTTTTTCTTCTCTCTTTTTCTTTCTTTCTTTCTTTTTTTTTTTTTTTTTTTTTTTTTTGAGGCGGGGACTGGCTGTGTCACCCAGGTTGGAAGTGCAGTGGTGCAGTTAATAGCTTATTGCAATCTCGACCTCCTGAGCTCAGGTGATCCTCCACCTCAATTTTTTTTTTTTTTTTGTAGAGACAGGGTTTCACTATGTTGCCCAGGCTGGTCTTGAACTCCTGGGCTCAAGCAGTCCTCTCACCTTGGCCTCCCAAAGTGTTGGGATTATAGGCATGAGTCATGGCACCTGGCTGTTTTTACGTTTTCAAGGACTAAATATGGAAAATCTCGTTACAGATTACATTATCAGAAAAACATTTGCAATACTTTTTAATGATATGAACCTCTAAATTTGAAGTTAATTGAGCAAAATTATTCCCAGTGAAAGAATTCCATTGGTCTCATTAGTAGACCTATATTTTGGAAATTTGTTTCCTCTCTTTTTATAGAAGTATCTAGCATACTATTCTGAATTTTGCCTCTTGCCCACAAAGCCAAAAAGTGTTTACTATCTAGTTCTTTACAAAAATTTTGCTGGCTTCTGAAATACACTCACATAAACAAAGAATAGATTTCCCAAATAAGGAATCCTCCAGTAAAAATAATTAAGATGTATATGGTATAATAGTATAACTTAGGATAAGTAAAAATAACACGCTATGCAACAAACTTATAGAACGATTTGTGTATAAATTGATTTTAGATAAATTTATGATTAGTCTAAATGCGCACTAAAATGACCTACTTCGTCTTGGCGCAGTGGCTTACGCCTGTAATCCCAGCACTTATGACTCAGCAGTTCGAGACCAGCCTGGCCAACATGGCCAAAAGTTAGCCAGGTGTGGTGGTGTGCGCCTGTATTTCCAGCTACTCGGGAGGCTGAGGCAGGAGAATCTCTTGAATCTGGGAAGCGGAGGTTTCAGTGAACTGAGATGGTGCCACTGCACTCCAGCCTGGGAGACAGAGTGAGACTTTGTCTCAAAAAAATCAATAAATAAAATAAATAAATAAATAAAATTACTTACTTTGAAACTGATAGTAAGAAAAAACAATCATGCTTTCCTGTGTTTGTACATGAGCTCTGGCAAGGGAAGTAATTGTTATAAATGAGCATTGCAATTAAAAAATTTTCATTTGAAACTGGAGCTTAATTTTTCAGATGATGTCATTCAACCAGTTTGTTTTTGGTGTCTTTTCCTAGAACTTATTTATTCTTGAGTGGATATTCTTTTTATACTTTGCCTCATTTAGAGGGCATTCAGGGTGGCTGAGTGGGACTACATAGTATTAAGTGTTCGATTCTAGGGTCCTCTAAAGAGTTTAAACAACATTTTGTGGGAATTTGTAATAAAATAAAATGCAGATGTATTCATCATTGCCTGGGGGAACTTAGAAGATAAGGTATTGAAGCTGGACCTTGAAGGATGGCTAAGATTTAGGCTTTCGGGGTATGCGTTTGGGAGACCAATCTGTGTGGAGTGAACTTGAAGAAAGAGGAAGCTGTCAATGGTAGTGTGATGGGAGATGGAGCTGGATGGGTGATTTGGGGCTTGAATATTCACCTAAGAGAAATGGACTTTATTGACAGATAATTCTGAGATAGGTATAGTGTCTGACACTCAGAGGTGCTAAACTAATATTTATTGGGTAAATAAATAGGGAGCTTTTTGAGGAAATTAAGCAGGAGAAACAAGGGTAAACACCTAATTACAGGGCATTGTCCCATGTTGATCATCACAACAGCAAGATTTGCTAAATATTAGCCAAGACCCTGTTAATGTTTACCTGACATCTATTCCTTCCTAATTCCTACTGCTACCACTTTAACCAGTGCCTTGTAATATTGTAATATTCCTTCTCCCTATTACTTCCAGTCTTTCATCCTCTGAATTATTGAAATGCCTGATTTTCTGATTAGTATGAGTGCTTTGCACATAGGTTTTCACACATTTTTTTCTAATAGGTGAATGAAAGTCGTCACTTAGTGCCTTTTGCAACAGACTGATAGCATGTCAATGAGCCTTCCAAAATCCTGTTACTCAAAAATAGTAATAGGATAATTAGCATCTTGATTGAGTCTTCCATCTCACCCCATATTAAAGAAATAGTGGCTGGCATTCTCCTCATTTGGATTCTTGAAACTGGATTCTGTTTTTAAATTTCCTTGGAGGAGATTTTCTTATAATACTCATTATGTGTTTGCAGTCTTAGGCTAGTGTAATAGTACAATCTAATGACCTGCTTTGAGAGTTTTCTTTAACTCATCCTGGGTAAGTTATTAAATAACTTTTATATTTTTTTCTTAGATATCTTAATGCAATTCAGACAATGTGTCCACACATTCTTCGCTATTTGACTACAGCAGTCATAACAAACAAGGATGTTCGGAAACGTCGGCAGGTTCTAAAAGACCTAGTTAAAGTTATTCAGCAGGTAAAACTGAAATATATATTGTTTTTTTTTAAAGTACCTAATCTTTAGGTCTAACCTCTTTTTCTAAAGTAAGACTTAGTTCTTAAGGTAAAAATGTTTTTAAAAATAGGTGAGGAATACATGAAGTTTAGAAAAGAGAAGAGCCTCAAATGCGCTTTTGTTTTCCTTAAGTCCAAGATACACAAGTTGGATGTGGTGGGAATGATTATTACTGTCTGCTAGATGAACACTTAATATACATTATGTATATGTGTTTCTCTTATTGCAAAGAGTGAAGAAAATCTGGAACCTGAAATTGGGGGGTCATTACCTGTATAATTCTAGATGGGTGAACTTTATATACAATACAGTTTCAGTAGACCCCAAATTGGGGAAAAGGTTCAGGCAGCCATGCTGATTGATATTTAGTGAGCTTGTCAGCAAAACCCATAGATTAGAAAAATAAATATTTATTTAAGAGTGAATTAAATACAAAGAAGTTATTGTCATTCGGTAGGGAATGAATATCCTTATGCTTGGGAAGGTTATTACTGTTTATTGACTAAGGGAGACTTGGTAGTAGGGGAATTCGAAAGCTTTCAGAATGCTTCTAGGATGAGACTTTAGAGAACTTGGTTTGAAAGACATTATAAGCTTAAGGTGTGGTCTGGAATCAGGATAGGAACAATTGCTTCGAGAAGATGCTAGGTAATTTGGCTAGAAATTAATGGTAAGGAAGGAGAAACCAAGAAGATTGGGATATTCTGGGGCAATCTGCTAAACGGTGTTGAATCAGACTTACCTTGACCATTGACTTATTTTTACAGGAGTCTTACACATATAAAGACCCAATTACAGAATTTGTTGAATGTTTATATGTTAACTTTGACTTCGATGGGGCTCAGAAAAAGCTGAGGGAATGTGAATCAGTAAGTAAGAATTTTTACTTATAAACTAACACTGTTCTTAAATTTTTGGATATTGTAATCTTGCACTGTCTTCCTTAAAATAATGAAGTAATTATAACAAATATGTTTATTAATCTTAAAAAGGCCTAAATGGCTCATATTTATTAACCTTAAAATGACTTAAATGGCTTATGTTTATTAATCTTAAAATGGAATGTGCTAAAGTGATGACTTTTTAAATGTTGTTGCCATGTGTTTATCTCTTTTGTGAGGGGTGTTTGTTAAAACATTGGGGGTAAATTCACAGATATATTCATAATTTCATGTCTTATCTCGAATGAATAAATGTTTTTAATATTTCATATGTACAGGCAAGGTCACTTTGAATTGCAGGTAACAACTGTGTTTTTAATTTTGATTCATAGGTGGGCTTATCTTTAGAATATTTTCCATGGTTGTATTTAACATTTGTGATAAACCAGGCAATTCATTGTACTTATGAATTTTATAACGGCAGTGTCTCGTTGTTTAGTAGAAATTAAAGTACCTTTAGAACAACTGTGGAAGAGTTAGATTATAGTTGTTTTGAATAATTAGTTACAAGTTTTAAGAAACCAAACTAAGAATTCTAACTGCTAAATGTAGTCGCATTTACCAGATTCACAAGTTACTAGTCATCAGTTTCATCCTTGGAACTAGAATTTTGGCACAAAATGGGCAATTTGTTGACAAAGATCTTATTTCTCTAAGGAAAAAAATGATCATGCAAATATCCATTCACTGATGATTTTGTTTCTTTTTTATTTTTTTTTGAAATGGAGTCTCGCTCTGTCACCCAGGCTGGAGTGCAGTGGCGCGATCTCGGCTCACTGCAAGCTCCGCCTCCCAGGTTCACAACATTCTCCTGCCTCAGCCTCCCAAGTAGCTGGGACTACAGGCACCCGCCACCTTGCCTGGCTAATTTTTTGCATTTTTAGTAGAGGCGGGGTTTCACCATGTTAGCCAGGATGGTCTCAATCTCCTGATCTCGTGATTCTCCCGCCTGGGCCTCCCAAAGTGCTGGGATTACAGGCGTCAGCCACCATGCCCGGCCTCCCTGATGATTTTCAAACATTAGATGGAATAGAAAATTAGAATTCAATATGTTAATATGTTATTATCATATATGTTAATTGGTGGTTTTTTTGTAGTCATATGTTGCATTATTAAGGTAAATATTGGTGTATATTTATTATGCTAAGTGTTTAGGTTTTGCTGTTAAGAGACCTAGAGGGCACTTGGTTGCTGTTTTTGAAATTAAAATATTTTTAATTACACCATCTGTGGAATAGTAGCCACCTTTTGCATTCTTTTCCTTTCTAATTTCTAAGTCTACTTAATATTACAGAAATACTCAGGGCTTTAGTCCATTTATAACTATTTTAAATAGTTGGAAGAGATATATTATCTGCAGAGCATTTATGTAGAATAATGGATAGTACCAAACTTTATTGTCTGAAGGCTACTTTATTACTTAAAGTTATCAGAAACATTGCAGTTTTTAGGTCTTTATCTTGTAGTAGTCTTTTACTACTTATTTAAATCATTAAAGATTTGAACACAGTATTCTAGAAAGTGCTGTGGTATAAAACTCATTAGAATGGAAAAATAAAGCAGACAAAGTATTTGGTTCACATTTCGTCATTAATTTTTGTTGTATTTGTACATATAGGTGCTTGTGAATGACTTCTTCTTGGTGGCTTGTCTTGAGGATTTCATTGAAAATGCCCGTCTCTTCATATTTGAGACTTTCTGTCGCATCCACCAGTGTATCAGCATTAAGTAAGAACACTGATTTGATTTGGATTTTCTACTTTAAAATTCCTGAAAATTTCCATTTATTGTGAATTTACACTTAATAGAATTCCAGTTAATTGGATTCTTATTTCTCTTTGCTTTCGGAAGAACAGTGAAACAATTTGATGAAATTACTTAAAAACCTAAATTTTGCTACAGGCTCAAATAGTTTTAGCTTGAGTGGCGTAATTTTTCAAAATACTAAGTTGAAGACAATATATGATTGTCAGTTACCTTATTGAAGAGTAAATACTGTTGTGCCTTTACATAAGGAGAAAAGTGAAGTAAACATTTCTAAAATGGTTTTCAGCAGCAGTACAAAGAAGGAGATACCCATTGAATTGGGAATTCTTTTGAAAGACCACTATATTTGGTAATCCTTTCTGTTTAGTTTGTATAATTTAATTACATATTTGACTTCTCCTATAGTAAACTCCTATGACATCTTAAAATGTTGAAAGATGGAAAAATTATGGTGAATTTTAGTTGTAATTTCCTCTGTTTTGTGAGAAAATTTTTGGGTAAAAATTGTGAAATGTACATAACCTATTAGAAATAAATTATACACATTAGAGTTTGAAAAATGACTAGTACCCTTTGGGCACAGAGGAAGTCAAACATAAATGTTTAAAAACCTACTACTTTGGTGTTTGCTTCTGAGGAATTGTGCATAAGACAAATTCTTTTTCTTTAATGCCATTTGTTTTTGCTTAGCCGTACTTGTTTTGCTTAATTTTAGTGGGTTGTCCATTGAAGTGGTTGTCCAGAGTTAGAAGTATAGTACAATCATGGGATTTTTTCCTGTGGGAATTGAATCCTTGCCTTCACAGTTTTATTAGCACTTTACTATAGCTTGCAGACAGAATTTTTTAAACCTGATTCTCTTATAAATTACATGAAAATTCCTAATAATGTAATTGGTTGTGAAATAAAGAGGTAGGTATATCATATGTGGGGCTCCGGTGGACAGTAGTAACCAAATTCTTGCATTGTTCTTTGTTTTTAAGGTTTGTAAGTAGGGCTTGTGAAAGAGGGATGTTAGTATTTTGGTTTCCCTTATAGAATTTTCTCCATTTCTCATTAGAATATGGTCATTTGGGTGTTTTTTGGTCCAGGACTGATGTAACTACTACCCCTGTTGTGGGCCTTTTGAAAGCTGACCCTTTTTTTTTGTGTCTTTAGCACCTAGCATACTAACTTTGTAGCACCTAATATGCTTTGTACAGTATAGTGTGAGTATACAATATGAATATTTGTTAAGTAAATTTCTTCTGTTCTTTGTATTAGTGAACTTGGCATTTTTGTCAGTGATAATGCTTGTCTGCTTTGATGTTTGCTTCCAAGGTACTATCAATAAGATTTGTTCTAGCTCTTTTCCTTTAACTCTGCAACCATAGATTCATTATTTTCTTTCTTGGGATTTGGTTTGTTATATTTTAACAGGAACATAGATTAAGTATGTGTCCTCCTTACTGAAGAGAGATGTGCAGCTCAAAGAAGTTAATAGAGTGGGAATGTTTCTATATACCTTTATATGACATTACCTAAGAATTTTTCAAACTTTTCTTCATGTAGATTTTTATTATTTTCTTAATCTCTGTAGTTTTATGCTAGACAAAAATCTAGAAAGCATTTTCAAACTAAAGTCCTAGTGGCTTTCCAGAGTCCAAAAATATTTTTTTTTTCTAGTAGTAGCATTTTCTTTCACTTCAGTTCTTCAGTTTTTTTTTTCCATGTTTTACTAAGATGATTAAGAGCACATGGATCAATAATGTGTGTTTTTCTTTTCTTTTTTTTGGAGACACAGTCCTGCACTGTTGAGTACAGTGATACGATTTCTGCTCACTGCAACATCTGCCTCCTGGGTTCAAGAGATTCTCGTGCCTCAGCCTCCCAAGTAGCTGAGATTACAGGCATGTGCCACCATGCCCAGCTAATTTTTGTACTTTTAGTAGAGATGGGGTTTCACCATGTTGGCCAGGTTTGTGTTGAACTCTTGGCCTCAAGTGATCTGCCTGCCTTGGCCTCCCAGAGTGCTGGGATTACAGGCGTGAGCCACTTGCACCCAGTGTTTTTTCAAATACTATGGTAGAATTTTCAATCTGAAAGCAATCTTAGGGATCTTATAATCCAACAACAGTTACTTTTCAGGTGAAGGACTTTTCTGTAGAATTTTCTGTGGTGATGGAAATGTTTTATATATGAAAATGTGTTTGTGTTCAGTATGGCATACTTCAAAGATGGCTCACATTTCAAGATCTTGAAGCATGGCTTTCAAATCTCTATGTGTGTGACAGTGGGACTTATTTTCAAATGCAGTATCATATATATGAATATATGTATGTATGTATGTATGTATGTATTTATTTATTTTGAGACGGAGTCTCGCTCTGGAATATATGTATTTATATATGTATATAAGCAGATTAAAGCAGAACCCATTCACCTTGCCTATCTTACAGCTCTGTTCAGCTTCTCTCCTGACTACGAAGACACCTCTTTGGAACACAATTTTACAAAACACTGACTCAGAACAACTGCCTTGTTTTGTAGCCAGGAAATTTAAGGCTCAAGGACATTAAACTAGGTCTTGATAGAGCCTACACTAAAGGTGTCTGACATTCATTGTACTGTACCTCACTGTAAATTCTTTTATATTGTGAACAACTTACATTTTTAGAAATGTCAGGTTTAGATTAATTTGTCATTTAGTGTATCAGTTGAGCCAGAGGATAAAGTTGAAAACCCTAAGTCAGTTTAACTCTGTGTTTCAGAATCTTTGTAGAGTTTGTTTTATAAACTCCCTGTAGCCACCCTAAACCTTTGAATCAGATTTATTGAGTAGGCTGTGCTATGATTTGCAGCAGGGCTGCTGTGCTGTATCTTGAGGGTGGTTATTCCGAAGCACAGCCAGAATCCAAAACCACTGCATTAGGTCACCAAGTTTTTAGGCATGTGATTACAGCCTGCTAAAGTAATGGAGTGAAAAAATCAATAATTCAATACCTTTATTGTATAATGAATTAAGAAGATAAGCTTCTTCGTGTTTTTAAGGATGCTTTAATGGGTTAGAAAGACAGTGGCTGGACAAAAGAAAATACCATCATAGTGAACAGGCAGCCTACAGAATGGGAGAAAATTTGTACAATCTACCCATCTGATGAAGGGCTAATACCCAGAATCTGCAAAGAACTCAAACAGATTTACAAGAAAAAATCAAACAACTCCATCAAAAAGTGGGCAAAGGATATGAACAGACACTTCTCAAAAGAAGACATTTATGCAGCCAACAAACACATGAAAAAATGCTCATCATCACTGGCCATCAGAGAAATGCAAATCAGAACCACAATGAAATATCATGTCATACCAGTTAGAATGGTGATCATTAAAAAGTCAGGAAACAACAGGTGCTAGAGAGGATGTGGAGAAATAGGAACACTTTTACACTGTTGGTGGAACTGTAAACTAGTTCAACCATTGTGGAAGACAGTGTGGTGATACCAGAAATACCATTTAACCCAGCCATCCCATTACTGGGCATATCCCCAAGGATTATAAATCATGCTGCTATAAAGACACATGCACACGTATGCTTATTGTGGCACTGTTTACAATAGCAAAGACTTGGAATCAACCCAAATGTCCATCAATGATAGACTGGATTAAGAAAATGTGGCACATATACACCGTGGAATACTATGCAGCCATAAAAAAAGGATGAGTTCATGTCCTTTGTAGGAACGTGGATTAATCTAGAAACCATCATTCTGAGCAAACTGACACAAGGACAGAAAACCAAACCCCACATGTTCTCACTCATAGGTGGGAATTGAACAATGAGAACACTTGGACACAGGGTGGGGAACATCACACACCAGGGCCTGTCGTGAGGTTGGGGGAGGAGGGAGGGATAGCATTAGGAGATACACCTAATGTAAACGACAAGTTAACAGGTGCAGCACACCAACATGGCACATGTATACATATGTAACAGACCTGCACGTTGTACACATGTACCTTAGAACTTAAAGTATAATAAAAAAAAAAAAAGAAGAAAGACAGTGGCTGGAAATAATAAGTATTTATGTTGGGATTTTATAAATACAGCAAACATTTTAATTTGGACTTCAAGGATTTGTAATCCGTGATAATGACCAACAGAGCTAAAAACTACCTTTAAACAATATACAGGAAAAAAAAATACTTTAATCTAGAGGTTTTAAACCTAGTTGTACATTGAAATCATCTGGAGAAGTAAAACAACAAGAATTTAAGCTTAAAAATAATAGATTTCCTGCTTTTATCCCAGACCTTCTGAATCAAAATCTCTGCGATGTAGGCATTGAGAATCTGGGATTAAAGCTTCTCAGGTGATTCTTTTGCAGTCAGCCTTGGGGAATCATTGCTGTAAATGAGTGATTTGATAGTACTGACAGCATATTAGAATCAAATGGGAAACTGTAAAAAGTAATAAACAGAAATACTAGATGACTGAGCCTAACCATTAAAATCATTTTCTGGAGGCAGACCCCAGAGACTGTGTTTTGAAAAAGGTCCTCTAAGTGACTTTGATGCAAGATCTGGCTTAAAAAAAAAAAAAAGGTTAAACTGTTTATTTCGAGATGATTATGTATCAGTTGTACGAAATGATAAACAGACCCCCTGTGTCCTTTACTCAGTTTCTCCCATTAGTAACATCTTGCAAAACCACAGTAAAATATAGCAGCCAAGATGTTGATGTTGATACATTCAAAATATAGATTATTTCTATCACAAGGATCCTTCAAGCCGCTCTTTTATAGTGGTACCCCCTTCCCTGCCACCCTCTCCTTAATTTCTGGCAACTACTCATTTGTTCTCCATTCCTGTATTTTTATTACTTTGAGAATAAGCAAAACTTTTCTAAACGTTAGTATTCAGCTTCCTAAACAGCAAATATGCTATGTATCATGATTAAGGTATAATTAATTAATAACGACCTA